TAATCCCCTGAGTTTTCGGGAGCGGACAAGGTATTAAAATATGTTCATCTGACTGCAGACGCGTTCCTCCACCCCCCCCCCCCCCCAAAAAAAAAAAAAACAAAAACACCGGCCAAAAAAAGAGAGGGGAGAAAAAAGGACGAAGGAAGAATAATGAGCAAAAAAAAAAGATTTTTTGAAATTCAGACAAGGATTAAGAGTCGAGAACGGTACAACGAATCGTCTTCTTTCTTTAATAATTTTAATGAAACGTCAAAGCTTCCGCGCTTCGCGCAGGAGGGGGGTGGGGTGGGACTGAATTCATACAAGAATTAAACGTCAAGAATGGTAACACGAATCGTCTTCTTTCTCTAATGATTTAATGAAACGTAAAAGCTTCCGCGCTTCGCGCAGGAAGGGGGGCCAAATTCAGACAAGAATTAAGAGTCGAGAATGGTAATACGAATCGTCTTCTTTCTCTAATGATTTAATGAAACATAAAAGCTTCGGCGCTTTGCGGAGGAGGGAGGGGGAAATCGCCCCTCCCTGCACCCCACCCCCCCCCCCCCCCCCCCCCATACGTCAATGCAGGTCACCATTACGTACCGATATTTGGGTCGCATAATTTCAAATTTGGGCCCCCCCCCCCCCCCCTAAGAAATCCTGGATCCGCGCCTGGGTAGAGCTTCTCAAGCGTTGGGAGCCCCAAAGTTTGATGGTAAAACTTGACTCAAATTGTATCATAATGTGAAAGAGGATCTAATTTAAGACATATTTCTGCGAGGGTTTTCAAAACAAATGCGTTTAAAGTCGAATATTGATGAAAGAATACAAAAAATTTCTGCGTACAACAGAAAACCCAAATTATTGTTCTGCTTCTAATGAAAACTAACTTAATATCAGGGTGGACTTCCCCTCCCTGTATTCAATAATGAGCAGAAAAGTGTAATCTATTCCTTTTTCCATTAGACCATTTTTCTTCAACGTGTCTCAGCAACAATTTTTTATATTCTCTCAGCAAAATATACCAACATTTCAAATATATACAGGGCGTCTATTTTTTTTTTGTTAACAAAACTTTAAAAAGTTACGCAAAACGTTGTTTGAATATAAAGCTAAAATCTGACCGAACGTTGCCTGCCCCCAGATATCGATTTGCACAATCATGGATTGTATGTACTAATTCCAATCATGTTTTCACTCCATCGGATTGATTATACTCCTTATAAAACAAGCTACAATCAACACACCGTTTGGAATAGTAGAATTGTAAGCAGGTAACCTTAGGTTCTTGATTAGTGCACGACAATCAGACCTTCTGATTATCATAATAATTAAAACACCATATGGAATAGAATCGTAAACAGATAACCTTAGGTTCTTGATTATAAAATTGTGCATGACAATCAAACCTTTCTGATTATCATAATAATTAAAACACCATATGGAATAGAATCGTAAACAGGTAACCTTAGTTTCTTGATTATGTGCATAACGATACAAACTTCATGATTAAAATATTACTACAAACACCTATTTTACAATCTTTTTAGGTGCTCTTCAAAAAAAAAAGATTAGAGATAAATGAGGTAAAAGTAATTATAGTTACATTATATGTACAGGTTAATGCACAGAGAAAGTTGAAGTCCATTGAATTAAAAGAGTGTATAAGCAGGCTAAGGTAATGAGAGTCTTATGGAAAGCATATTATCTAGGAACTCTAAAATGCAAAGACTCTCCGGAGCCATACATTTTGCACGATAGAAATTTTAGTTATTTTGTGGAAAATTGTTGGACACCACTGGTGGATCCAGGAGGGGGGGGGGGGGGGCCTGAGCGAATTATCGGCCGGCACGATTTTCAATTTGCGGGAACAAAAAAAAAAAAAAATAGTGCTCACTACCCCCCCCCCCCCCCCCCCTTTGACACTTCATTAAATTATTAGAGAAAGAAGACGATTCGTTGTACCGTTCCCGACGCTTTATAATTCTTGTGTCGCCCTTCCCGTGCAAAGCGCAGAAGTTATGACGTTTCATTGAATTATTAGAGAAAGAAGACGATTCTTTGTACCGTTTTCGGCTCTTAATCCTTGTCTAAATTCAGTCTCTCCCCTCCCGCGCGAAGCGCGGAAGCTTTCAAGTTTTTATAAATAATTTTGTTGTACCGTTCTTGACTCTATATCCTAGTCTAAATTCAGTTGCCCCCCCCCCCCCCCCCCCCCCCCCCGCGCGGAAGTTTTCGCGTTTCATTAAATCATTAGAGACAGAAGACGATTCGTGGTATCGTTCTCGACTCTTATTCCTAGTCTAAATTCAGTCTCCCCCCTGAGCCCCTCCCGCGCGAAGCGCGAAAGCTGTCACGTAGTAAAAAAATTTCGTTGTAGTACCGTTTTCTACTCTGAATCCTTGTCTGAAATCATTTTGCCTATCCCGCGCGAAGCTTTCACGTTTCATTAAATTATTAGAGAAAGAATTAAGACGATTCGTTGTATCGTTCTCTACTCTTAATTCAAGTCCGAATGCAGCCCCCCCCCCCCCCCCTTCCCGCGCGAAGCACGGAAGCTTCGGCGTTCGTTAAATTATTAGAGAAAGAACAAGATTCTTTGTACTGTTTTCGACTATGAATTTTCAGTTTCCCCCCTCCCGCACGAAGCGCGGAAGCTTTCACGTTTCATTAAATTATTAGAGAAAGAAGACGGTCCGTTGTATCGTGTCCTTGTCTGAATTCAGTTTCCAGCAATCTGGTTTCTATCGTCAACACAAAAAATTGCAATCATCACAGTACACATAGATTGGCATATTGCAAGCTTTGCATGGCTCCAGACCCATGTACTATTAGCTGTCACCACGCACGTGTGTCGCGGGTATGTTATAGGATTTTGTGACTAAGATTTTTTTTTAAATAATAATAATAAAAAGCATAATTTGTGGCTGTCGGCTTTGTGACAATTTCGTAAACGAAGCATAATGACAGTAGTCTACATTAAATATATCATACAAAAAAAAATTGCAGGGGTGCTATGCACCCCCTGAAAAATTTCCGGGGGTGCTGCAGCACCCCAGCACCCCCGCTTCCCAGGGCCATGCCATCATCACTTAACCTTTATAATCACCATTGCATCATATTCGACATAGCTATCATCATCACCAATGAAAATCATTATCATAATCATCATCATCCTCTTCATATCATCATCATCATCCTCTTCATATCATCATCATTATCATCCTCTTCATATCATCATCATAATCATTATCCTCTTCATAATCATCATCCTCTTCATATCATCAGCATAATAATCATTATCCTCTTCATATCATCATCATCATCATCCTCTTCATATCATCATCATCATCATCCTCTTCATATCATCATCATCATCATATCATCATCATAATAATCATTATCCTCTTCATATCATCATCATCATCATCCTCTTCATATCATCATCATTATCATCCTCTTCATATCATCATCATAATCATCCTCTTCATATCATCATCATCATAATCATTATCCTCTTCATAATCATCATCCTCTTCATATCATCATCATAATAATCATTATCCTCTTCATATCATCATCATCATCATCCTCTTCATATCATCATCATTATCATCCTCTTCATATCATCATCAAATCATTATCCTCTTCATAATCATCATCCTCTTCATATCATCATCATAATAATCATTATCCTCTTCATATCATCATCATCATCATCATCCTCTTCATATCATCATCATCATCATCCTCTTCATATCATCATCATCATCATCCTCTTCATATCATCATCATTATCATCCTCTTCATATCATCATCATCATAATCATTATCCTCTTCATAATCATCATCCTCTTCATATCATCATCATAATAATCATTATCCTCTTCATATCATCATCATCATCATCCTCTTCATATCATCATCATCATCATCCTCTTCATATCATCATCATCATCATCATCCTCTTCATATCATCATCATTATCATCCTCTTCATATCATCATCATCATAATCATTATCCTCTTCATAATCATCATCCTCTTCATATCATCATCATCATCATCATCATCATCATCATAATCATCCTCTCCATATCATCATCCTCTTCATAATCATCACCATCATCATCCTCCTCTTCATATCATCATAATCATCATCCTCTTCATCATCATCATCATCCTCTTCATATCATCATCATCATCATCCATATAATAATCAAAATCCCCGGCATCATTATCATTATCGTATTCATCATCCTCATCCTCGTCAAAATAATAAGCAAAATCACTGTCATCAATTATCATCATCACCATCATACTCTTAAGAATTTCTATCTTGCTTCAATTCGCCGAGATAGACTTTGCATAAAGTTCTGAAAAAAAACAATTCTCAAATCTTACGCAAATTGAAAAGAAGAAAAAAAGCAGGCAACGTCTATTATCAAAATAAATATTTATTATAACCTTATATATATATATATATATATATATAAAAACTCCTGAAAAAACAATGTTCAACTAAAATATATACCACTCACATTTCATAGTAAAACATAAGACAATATAGAACCATATTTTAAGTATAAATGTTCTAATAATAAGCACAATAAGCTTTTGGGGGTTTTTTTAATTAAAAAAAAACATTATTATCATATCAAACAGCTGTATAGCGAGTGTCAAATATATATTAACGTCTTACCAAAGACAGTTCTGCCAGGTCAGACACTGATCCCTCAATTTCTCACTCGAAATACTACTGAATGAACCACTACACCACAATACTTTTATGTCCAGAAAAAGATATATCAATCCTCTATATAGTGCCAGCTGGGATTTGAACCCCAAACCTCTGTAACTAATGAAAGGAACCACTTTCATGTATGCAGGATATATATAAGTCCTTGGCATAGTACTAGAATGGGGTTCCGGACCCTAAACCTGTTTGATAAAAGTCCTGTAAAAGTACCACTTCTTCTTCATCATCATCATCATCATCATCATCATCATCATCATTTCTGTAGATTTTCAACCTAAGAGCTGGATGCGACGAGTTTAATCCTGGTCACATGACCTTCTTCATGTCGGCAGAGGAATGTCGATCGTCATCTTCTGGTTCAGCTCTGTGGGCGACACCATCTGTAAAACACAAACATGGCAACAAGTATTTCAATGCACTGTCTGTCTTCTTGGTTTGGTAGAGACCTTGTGATGAGTACAAGTCGTTTGCTGAGATTTAGAAGGGCATTAAAGGTAATACAAAGTTTTGGGAAATTTTGAAAAATGGGTGGATAGTGATTCTTTAAAATTTTAATATATTTGGATGCCCCTATGGATGTATTAAAAACACCAGCAATTTTAGCCCCTAAAACACTTCTGCTTTCGAGAAAAATTGAATATAAAGATTTACCGGTGCTCCCGGTAAATTTTGATACATTTCAAATAGCTCCTACGGCCGTACAATGGTAGCTGCGACCATGAAAATCTCAGAGTATGTAGTTGTGGTATATAATTTCCGAACGAGAATAGCTAATCAGTCAATTTTAGTCAATAAACATTGTTTTATAGCTTAATTAATATCTTGACCTTGAGAGGGAGCTATTTAACATAAATTGTTTATTATTTACAATTTCATAACTTTAGAGTCGATTTCGACCGTGACAACGATCACTGAATATTGTAGGATCGGATATGCTTTCAATATTTTCATTTGAACCAAATTCATGACCCCATACCAAAACTTTGTATTACCTTTAAGACATATCATTGAAAAAAAGAGTATATGCCTTGTGTGTGTGTGTATTGGGTTTTTACAGACTTGTATCAATCAGATATGATTGTTTACGTTGGGGGACCGACCTTTAACGTCACCATCCGAAAGACGTGACTCAGTTTTGAACCTACGTCCTCGGCTGAATCAGTTTGTAATTTCCACTGTTTGCTGAATTACAGGCGCAAGCCACAACGTCTAGTTAAACTAAACCCTTCTCAACCATATCCATTTTATATCAACAAAAATGGTACTCATAAGAAATCCACTGTATTTACATATGACATGAGCTTGAGATACAGTCCAACCTGCTTTAGCAACCACCTGTACAGATCGAAAGACCACCTACCTAAGAAAGACCCTTGAAAGTGGTTTCTCATAGAAGCCTATACTAAAGGAACCTGGACGTAAAGATCACCTGCTCATAAAGACCACTTTTCTTGTCTCCATAATTGGACAGTCTAAATATAGTTTTATACAGGTTTCACTGTACAATGGAAACATAAGGTATCTTAGGTCATCATAGAAATAACATCTACATAATTCTTGTCACCACTGATTTGCTGTTTGCTTGGCAATACATCCTCTGAAAAGTGAAAATTCTGGTATACAGGCAGCTGAGTAGTATCATGGAATATATCAACTGAACAATAAAAAAAGTCTTCATGACAAGTTATGGTATTATTTCAACTCTACATAAGATTTTAAATTTCACAAAAAGATACCTACCCTCAGAAATTCTTGGTATGAGATGGTGCCAGGATGTTGACCTCTGACTTTCTGCAATGCACCAATCACAGCCTCCGTTATCTGGTCATCCGACAATGCAGGGGTGAACATACCCTTGTAGAGACTGAAGAGCTGCTCAAATCTTACAAGACCTTCTTTGTTCACATCTAGCGCATCAAAGAGGGCTTTCATTGGAAGGTGTTATAAAAAGAAAAAAGGAAATTTTACGACACCATACTGGTTAGATTTGAGTAAATTTATTTTCCCAGCATCCATGCGACTACCTTTAATTTATGTATACTTCTGTGTTTTACACTCAACAGAAGAGAAAGAATTAAGGATGAGGCGGAAAAGGAGAAGGAGCAGAAGAGGAAGGATGCTGAAGGAGAAGAAGAAGATGAAGGAGAAGAAGAAGATGAAGAAGAAGAAACAAGAAGATGATATGATGAAGAAGAAGAAGATGAAGAAGGAGAAAAAAGGGAAAAAGATGAAAGAAAGCAAGAAGAACAAGAAGAAGAAGAAGAAAGAAGTAGATGATGATGATGATGATGAAGAAGGAGAAGGAGAAAAAGAAGAAGAAGATCGAAGAAGGAGAAAGTGAGGAAGCAGGAAAAACAACAACAACACAAACAAAAACAAGAGGGGAAGAAGAAACAATCTAGAAGAAACAAAAATAAGAAGGAGAAGAGGAGAGATTGGGGAGAAGAAAAGAAAAGAGGAATAAGAATGAAGCCAAAAAAATGAAAACTAAAGAGAAGAAATCATAAGTTATTAGATCATCATGTATATCAGTACAGTATCTGAACATTGAACACTACACACTAACTTTTGATTGGAGCGGCACTCTCCTTCGAATAATTTTTAGGACATTATAAAGAAGAAGGGGGTCCCATTTTATATCATTCCTTGAGGCATTAACTCCCTCATTTCATATTTAATGTTATTCTGGCTGTAAACAGATAATGTACCTAAACACTTTTATTAATACTTAGGTCCTATGCTGTACCTATACATGTTTTTCCCCATTCCAATATTCCAGTTCCAAAGTTATTTGAAAACCATGCTTTTCTTACCTTTACTTTTCTCAGGATAATCTGCTTTCTTGCTCAGCACAGACAGACACAGCAAGAACCCCTCTGGCTGAATGGTACGGTCCGGTCCACTAGCATGTTTCAATACCACTCTCCTTGCAAGCTCATTGCCAGCAAAGATGTAAAGGGAAAGGAAAGATTCCACGGGGATACCATCCTCACCTTCAGGGGAGGGGTCCAGTTTGGCATAAGTCTTCAGCAGAAACTTAATCTCTTTTTCATCAACTACAGCCAGGTTTGAAGGATGAGAATTTTTGTTAAAAGGATTAATTCTCGCTACCCCAAATAGCGATTCTGCCGAGATCCGGGGAAAATCCTGAAAACGCGCATTGCATTATGGGATAGCTTTTCGACATTACAGCTTCCTGTGCAGGCGTTCGTGATCACAACCCTCTCTTTCACGGTAGAGTTTAACGGCCTTTTGTGCTAAAGTCACTAATTCTGCCCGAAGCTTTCCATTGCATATTATAATCTGTACAAATTACACTGATTGGCATCGATTTTAGCGTGCGTGAAAACTCTGCACAGCGAACACAGGCGCTAGCGCCAGCGGGATGGGACTCTATACCGGAAGTTGTAGTGACGACCCGAGAGAGTGAAAATTACCTCGTCTCGCGAATTTCGAGATTTTCGTACCTATTTAGGGTAGCGAGAATTGTCATGACATTTAACATACCATACATATTAATCAATATGAAATTAATTCATGATGAGCAAGAAATACCAATTTGAGGAAATCTCATAGTTTTCTATAGCTAAATCCAAAGAGAGTTTATATGATCAGCCCTGTAGCATAACAATTCAACTTGCTATTAATAATTTAACAAATCTATATTATCTCCATTCTTGCTGCAAGGAATCATATCTTACCATGGTTTGTATGAAATTAATCTCAAGTTAATATTCATTATAAAGTTAAAACTTATAATAATAATAATACTCAGCTTTTATATTGCGCGAATTACATTTAATTCTCTAAGCGCTTCCAAACTTGGAGATTATCACCCCGGCTTTAGCTGTGCTGCCATTACGGTGCTCTAGCATTTCAAGGAATGAATTCCTGCCAGGTACCCATTTACATCACCTGGGTTGAGTGTGGCAAATGTAGATCAATGTCTTACCAAAGAACATTGGTGTCGCGGCAAGACTCGAACCTCGGACCTTGTGACCGACAGTCCGGCAAAGTAACCGCTCAACCACGACAAGGAGATATGATTAATTTTGGGGAGATACAATGAAATGTCACTTTTGTTATGTTACAGGGCCATTATATTGCTTTAAAAAAAAAACCAATATGGTTTCTACTTTTAAAAAATGGGAATGAAATGAGTTGATTTATTTAAGAAATAATCCTACTTATTTACTTACAATGTGACTGCTCTTGAATATCTTCCAGTCTTTCTGGCGTGAGAAGAGAGTCTGAATTACCCTGCAAGAGAGAGAAAACAATGTAATTGATTATAAAAATAACAAAAATAATGCATTTCATCACTCAGTCACTAGTATTAGTACATGTAGTAGATCTAGTCTAAACAATTCCTAATCATATTGCTAACATTTTCTGGGACTAATTCCATAGTTTAGCATATGACAGTTGCAAATAGGAATATGATCCCATCAAGTTTCCTTTCATTTGACAAATAAACCTTTCTAAAAAGCGAAAAAATCAACTGTAGAATCTCGTTTATAAATGATAAAATGTTGACTAATTTCAGATTTTTTTTTTAAATGAATGGAAAAACTAAAATGAAATAGAGGTAGACTCTACATGTACAATAATGATGACAATGATGATGATGATGATGATGATGATGATGATGATGATGATATTAATCATAACAAAACAACAAGGTCTAACTTTTTAGGCCTAATAATAATAACAATAGACATCTAGGATCTAGTCTAGATCTAATATTTTAATAATAATATTAATAACAATAATAATAATAATAATAGTAAATAGCAATCATCGGTCACCTCATTATTTTACTACTAAAGTCTAAATATTATCCTCATTAATATTATCATCATCAGTGGAAGTGAAGATAAATGAAGAACTTCATTTCAACTCACTTCAAGTCAACTTGGTCTTGAAGTTGAAGAAAAGAAGAACTTCAACTTAAATTCAAGAAGAAAGAGAGAGAGAAAGAGGGAGAGAGAAAAAGAGCAAATAATGATTCAATTATGTACAAAGATCAAGGTTGCTTGTCTTGAAACGAAAATACATAACTGTCATGACGTACTGTAACCAACGAACTCAAACCAAACTTGGATTTCGATGGCTAGGGTCTAGTCTAAGCCTAGAAGAACGGTAGGCCTACACAAAATTGCAGGTGTGGGACAAAGCCCTCGATTCAACTCAATTTTTGATTAATTTTCAATTTAATTGATGATGCTAGTTATCTAACATTCACAATGCTCAAAGTTTTCAATTTGAAGATACTTGCTATTTTCATACCATTCCTAATTAAGCCGGTAGCATCTGAATCACATCACATCACAAATCAAATTACGGAAGATCACTCCAGTTACGTTTCAAAGCTTCATTGGTTGTCACCGCAACGAAGTTAGAGGGCGTCCGAGCAAATCAGTCATCAGCGCAGCTGGTCAGAGCGCGATGGATGAATTAATTCCAGTATAATAGTAGGCAGTTCTCAGATCGATCCCTCCCCTTCGTGCAACAGATTCAAATGTTATCAATCGAGAAAGTAGTTCTCCTAAGTTCCCCCCCCCCCCCCACCGGGGGGGGGGGGTACTCACATATACGGGGTGTGCCCTAAACATGGGTCCCACTTTTAACAAAAATACCGTTTAAAATGGGTACGTTTTTTTCAAAAAAAATTCGGGTGTTTTCCATGCAGCGCCCGAAAAACAACCGAAAACTGTGAAAAAATGGGTTATTTTTCAAGAAAAATGGTCCAAAATGACCACTAATAATGAATAGGGGTTTCGAGGCTTGAGTGGTACACCCCCATCCAAACCAAATCTGAGTATCCCTCCCCTCCCCGGGTCAAGTTCTTGCACAAAGTGACATAGAATATTGTTCAGTAAGCCTTTTTTTCTTTCTTTCTTTCTTTCTCTTTTCTTTTTATAATATTTTTCATTTCTTGTCTTTTCTTTTCTTATCTGTAAAGTACAACAACTTGATCGTGTTAACTTTTCTTAAACTTCATTTTTCTTAGACTTTTTCGTGTCTTAAAGTTACAAACTTGAACCTGCTGTTTGATGTGGTAGCCTATAACAGAGAGGTGAGAAACTTGAAAGTAGGGTAGAGACGTTGAACATTTTGAAAAGAAAATGAATTACTGCTCAATTCTAAGATACTTGCTATTTTCATACCATTCCTAATTAAACCGGTGTGTCTTTAATGGCCTAGAAACTAAGATGGAAAGATGCCTTTAAAAATACATGCATAATTATGTCAGTGCGCATTTGTTATTATGAATAATGACTCGCTCTCCCTCTCTCTCTCTTTCTCTCTCTTTCATATCTCTCTTTACATCCCTCTCCATCTTTCATTTGTCTTTCTTCACCTCTGCCTCTCTCACTCTCTATCTCTCTTTCTCTCTTTCAGATCTCTCTCCCTCTCTCTCTCTCTCTTTCTCTCTCTCCATGTCTCCAAGGTCTTCAACTCCGCCTTTCCCTCTCTCACTCTCTCTCTCACTCTCTATTTCTCTCTATATTTCTCTCTCTTCCTCTTTCTCTCTCTCTATTTCTCTCTTTCCTATTTCTCACCGTTTTCACTCGAACCTACGTCTCTGTAAAAAGTTTGCCTATACTTACTAGAGTTCTCAAACCAATAATATTTCTTCACAATAAATCTCTTACTTATACATAGACGACGAACCAAACGGGAAGTAATTATTTTGAGTTCATCGTTCTTTTATGATAGTAATTCCAGTTAATAATGATTTAGTAATAATACAAATATTCATAAAATGAAGGTTGCCCCTTCACAAAATACTGTATGTTTTAACGTTGCTAAATGATATGCCGAGAATTAAACCGAAATAATTATGACCAACCTTATATGCTTTTTAGAATTTAACAAACGTAGCTATCAGAATGAATGTCTGATATCTGTAAATAAACCTGACAACGATAATAGTATTATAAGGTTTGTCGTTTTGTTGTAAGGTGATCAAAGTATAATATAAAATTGCCATTCATAATTATCTTCAAATTACGATGATCCACAGCACTTGTACGGCGCCATGTATCTGTTTCAAACATTAAAAAGCGCCCGCTCCTCTAATAGTTATGGATACACCTAATTTTGCCTGAAAATTTCGAAGGCTAGGATCTTTTTGTTTTTGATTTCATTGTATGTATATTCCTTGTGGAATGCATGTTTAGATAAATATTCAAATAAGGACAGTAAAACATAGAATTAGTATAGTAGTACAAAAAGTTAAATCAACCTAGGCAACGATAATCTCGGGATAGGGGCGGACTACCAGGATTTTCTGAAACTGAGGCCGTCCAAAATGATTTCCGAAAATTCTACGGGCCCTCAAAAAGCCCTTAAAATTAACCAGGGTTTTTTTCCCGGAACATAACTAATTTTAGCCATGAAACGTCTTTTCGACTTTTTTCGATTTTATAAAGCTTTATGCATTACCAGTATATCATTGCGAATACAAATATCTTGATTGTGAAAGAGTATGGTTTATTTTTGAATTTCTTACAAAAAAAGTACGTTTAAGAAGCTTCCCTGAAAATAGGAAAATACAAAAGAGGCAAATTTCTCTTTTCACACGAAATTTTAGTTTCTTGCCGTTCTAACGTGCCTTTACAAAGCGGCTCAAATCATTTTGTCCAGGGCCAAGAAGATAGTGAACGTTTTTAAAGTAGGCCTCTATCATTAAGTGTATCATGATGCTCTTTTTTGAATTTCGTGAATTAAAAAAAAAAACATTGTCAACAATAAGTATTATTTCCAAGACGACTATACATCCGGATTCATTACCATGTTAAGAAGATTTTCCAAGCCCATAAAAAGATCTCATTAGTGAGGCAGTTCATTAAATTTGATACCATTCAATCCTGTTTTGCGTCAGCGAATCAGATCAGACGTTGAGTTGGTGATTAGAATTAAGATTTTGCAAAACTAGATCATCAGAAACTTTTAAAAAAAAATGTACTCTACACATTTACACACACAATAAATTTTGTTTCTGTTCAGCCTGAAATTCACGATTACAACCGAAATTGGCTCGCGAAGAAAAAGTAATAAAGCAAATGGTGATCTTTACCAAAGAAAGAAAGTAAATGTTATGTTTCTCGTCAGACTTCCATCTTCAAATCCCAAGTTCTTGCAAGTTCTTTCAGCTTTTGTCTAGTCCTAAAACTTTCTAACAGCAATACATGCATTGTTGAAAATTCATTTCCTTTCTTTTCAATGAATATCTAGGCAAAATAGTTACTATAATGGCAGTTGTTTAGTTCCCGAAAATTGGCATGATTGGGATTTAATGATGTAAAGATTTTGACTCAAATTCATATGGTATCTTTTTCAGTCAAGGAGTTTGTAGTAACTGCTTTCTTCAGTGGAGCAAAGACGGCATGGGCGGTGTGCTGATGTGTGGCTTCACGCATTGGTGACACGCGCAGGGCGCCGAAGCCGTCGACGCGCTCCAAGGCTTGTCATCATCCGACATCTTGACTCTGTCAGTGACGTTGCCGGTACTCGGTGGAGGCGATGCTTGACGATGACGCCGGTCGGATTGATGTTGGAGATGAAGATGGTGAGGAAGAGGAGGAGGAGGAGGATGGTGGTGAAGGTGATGGCGGGCGAAGTCGAAGCTTAGAGGCAACACGGCTGACGGTCTCAGCGGAAAATTCGACTTTGCGGACGATGAAAGCGAGAACAACGCTGCCGATGACACTGCTGATGTTCTATCGTCATAGGAAGAGCCCGTCATCGAGTTCGCTTGAATCTTATGGCTCTGCAAATGTGCCGATGTCGTCGACGAGTGTGAAACCGATGTAGGTAAAACACGCTTAAAAGGAGATGAATGCTCATTGCGAGACAATGAGCTCGAAATCTCCATCGACAACCTGTTCGGAAAAGATTCTGATGATGGTTTATCTCTAGGAGTTTCCTTTCCCGTAAAAGTCACACCAGGGGGTTTCGTATTTTGATACCCGATCCCAACTCCATGATCTATTGGAACTAGTGGTTTTGAAGATGCGGAAACTGGTATAGCAGCGGTGTTGGTGTGACGAAGGTGATGATGATGTTCAGGACGATCTCGAGCGAGATGGGAGGATCCGACATTTCGGATTTCATGAGGGTGCGGATGGTGGCCAGACTTGGAAAACGATGGCGGCACTCGACCACGCCCCTGCGAGACATCATTCACGAGTTGCTTCATCTCTTCCATGCTGTTACGTAACATCAGGATATAGTTCTTGGCCAGGAGGAGCGTGGACATCTTCGACAGTTTTCTCACAGAGGGGCCGTGAGCGTAAGGCATGACTTCGCGTAGACCGTCCAAAGCCTTGTTCAAATCGTGCATTCTCTTTCTCTCCCGACTGTTGATCTTCAACCTCAGATCCTGCTGGTCTTCCTGTGAACAAAGCTCGACCTCGTCGACTCCTGACGTCATCCCGACCCCATCCATCATCACACACGACATCCCTCGGCTCTGGAGCTCGATCAATCTCTCCTCCGTCATCGCTTTCAGGTTTCCCGTCGGATCGCGCTCGACCGCCCGTATTCTTAACCCGTCGTCATCCCCACCGCCACGGCCAGGGGACGGTTTGCGGAAAGACGAACTCAACGACGAGTAGAACGAATCGGTGGTCGAGTTCACAGACATGCTGTCGTCGCTCAGTTCGGTCCCCGAATCAGAGACGGGGGATGACAATTCTCTCACCATCTTCCCCTTAATCGACGATGAATTTCCAAACCAAAAATGTCGAGTAAAATTTACAGGTTTTGTCCTTCAGCTGGTACCCGTTTAAGAACTATCTGCGATGAAGATTGCATAATATAGAATGTCGAGCTGAAAATCAAAGTTTTGGGCCTCAAAATAGGCCTAAATATTGGCTGGAGACGAACGACGATAAAGAATCTCTCAACAAGAAAATAAAATTACAATTATTGTTCTGGCGTATGTCTTGTTGACTTCTATTGCTTTAAAATATGACAGCAAGATGACAATATTTTCACTGCTTTCGAAAGTTAAGTAATGTTGCCAAGGTTAAATTTCAGAAGCTTTCAGAAGATGACGACATATCATGAAAAGTAGCAGTTAGAACTAAATAAATGGTTGCTGGACCGTACCTATAGTTAACGTGATCCTCAATCTCAAAGTCTCAGAAAGCTGAAATTTCAGACGTCCAGCCAAGAGCGGTAGCAAGGATCGAATGAGGGGGAACGAGGATGCGGTAAGATTTTAATGACCCCCTCATTGGCAGGTAGTCGCGTGCCACGGATGCGATGCAACCGGTCTAGCCCCTCCCAGTTTACCCGTCTTCCTCACATTTTATTCTCACCCATCCCATTTTCTCTCTCGCTCTCTCCCCCCCCCCCCCCCCCCTCTCTCTCTCTCTCTCTCTATTCTCTTTCTCTCTCTTTAAGTCTCTCTCTCTTTCTCTCTGTGTCTGACTCTCGATCCCTCTCATGCTCTTAAGTTTATTTAAGCTCCTTCCTCTTTCTCTCCCCTCTCTCAATCTTACTTCCCATCCTTCCGTCTGAAGCCCATCACCCCACCCCACCCCCTTCTCTTCCCACCACCACTACCACCACCACCACCACCGCGAACCACCATTCTCTGTCTCTCTGTCTCTCTGTCTCTCTGTCTGTCTCTCTCTCTCTGTCTCTCTCTGACTCTCGATCCCTCTCATGTTCTTAATCTTATTTAAGTTCCTTCCTCTTCCTCTCCCTCTCTCTCTATCTTACTTCCCATCACTCTATCACTACAACCACCACCGCGAACCACCCTTCTCTGTCTCTCCCTCTCCATCTTTCCCTCCCATCCCTCCAATCACCCGTCCCGTAAAATGACTGGGACGGGTGGCTGTAAACAATGGAAGGCGGACGGCATACGGCCATGACGCCGCGGCCGGTAAGCGGCACGTGCCACTCGCGTGCCGCTCAACTTCGTGCCGTATGGGGCATTTAGTTTGGAAGTGTTTCGCAGGTCTGAATGAGTCTTTAAACTGTATTTAACATGGGTATTGATGTTTTCGTTACAGCTTTATAGGTCTATAATCAGGCTGTCTATATAATCATGAATAATTTTCTTCAATTAAATTCAGCACAACCTTTTGTTTTATGATTATTGTTTTTCATGGGGATTATTTCATTTTTCATTGGCATTATTACAGTGTTATACGACCAGATAAAGGGTAATGGTTCCAAAATGTAGGCCTACGTTTATATTCATTCTAAAAAAGTTTTAAGGATGAACACGGGCATCTAATATTGTCAAAAAATCCGGTTAAGGGGGGGGGGGGTGGGGCTTTTTATCTATGGGGGTGGGGGCGTTAACACTCCGTCACCATTTCGTCACCATTGCTTGTACCGTGTGTTTCCCCGCGCGATGAAATGGTTTTATTTGCCTTTTCTTTCATCATCAATTCTAAATTTTTCTTTCTGTTCAGGTTTGAAACGTGAACATATGGTGCGTGTGCACTGGTAGGTTAGCTAATGATCACGTGTAGCCATCATTGCCCCCGAACTCTTCGGCGACCGGTACCAATCACGGTTTGGTATGCGCCGGGCTCTACCAAGACAAGACGGACGAGGTTTTAAGTTACGCCATTTTAATCCTACGACCCCGCATCGTATCTAATTAGGAAAAAGCGCGAGCGCTCGATCGTCAATCTAAACCGCGCAGACGACACTTTTTGTTTGCCTTGCGTTGGACGAGATGGGTTGTCTGACAAGCGAATAATGACATGATGGGCAAATTTATAAATCTTGTGTAAATAAATATTAGTGGATGGTCAGATGTTCCGTATTTACGGATGACAGGCTTATCTTACATAGCCCTGGCAATATTATTTCATATATTTTGTGTCAGATTGTAAAGCTCGACGAAGCGAGCTGGGGAGGCGGGGGGGGGGGGGGGGCAGTGCATGGCGTATCCATTATAGTCGGGGGAGGGGGGGGGGTACTCGCCTAATACGGTATACGGGGGTGTGCCGCTCTCATGGGTTACTTTTTTGCAAAAGATCCCTAAACATGGAGTATGGTTTTGTGCTGCAAAATCCTTTGCCCCCACTTTTCAGATCTTGGCCTTAAACATAGATTACTAGACATAGATTACTACACCTCACCCATAAGCTCGCTAAATTAAAGAATCAGATTCAAAATCCCGCAAAAATAATTGAAATCATTTCGTTTTTTCATTCAAAGTCCTCGCCGATGGTCGCACAGATTCAATGAAGAAGTGTAGAAGTGTTTCTTCAAAAAGAGATGAATTCTGTAAAACGAGACGAATTCCTGCCTTTTTATGTACAATAAATCTTACGAACGTGTACAAAAGATGTATAAATGAAAACTTCGTGCAACGTTTAACAGAAATTAGAAAGAAAAACCCCCAGCTGAAACTGTGAAAGCTATTGCTAAGTAAATTAAGGAATTAAGGTAATGGAAGCAGGCGCGGATCCAGGATTTCTTAGGGGAGGGGGCCAACTTTTTTTTGTTTTGCTCCCGAAAATTTGAAAATCGCGCCGGCCGAAAAGCCGCTCAGTGGGGGGGGGGGGGGGGGGGGGGGGGGGGGGGGGGGGGGGGGGGAGGGGAGGGGGGGGGGGGTAGTGAGGAGGACATTTTTTTTGGTCCTTAAATTTAAAAATTTGCACCCCCCCCCCTTGAGCGTAAAAACCACGTGTTTTTACATGATTTTTTGTCTCAAGGGGGGGGGGGGGGGGGTGGGCTCCCCTGGATCTGCCACTGTGTGGAAGTGTAAATCATTCATGCAAATGGATTCGGCAAAACCTTAAACGTGGGTTGCGTTTGAATGGAAACCCCCAATAATGGGTACCATTTTTGCAAAAATGACCCTTTAAAAAAAGGTATGTGTTTAAACGCCCCCCCCCGGGTTGCGATCCCATTTTGCACCACCCGTATCTCGATGGTATCCACTATCCACCTAGAAAATAGGTTGACCCCAGCTGCCTTCCTAATGGCGAAACCCAAGCTACGCGCCCCTGTCGTGAATTAATTGCCGACATTTATTCAGAAATGTCGTAAGGTATCCAAGATATAAATGTTTCACAAATTCATTACAAATTTCATTACGATTAAAATATATTGCCAAACAATTTAAAGCGGATTGGGGGAGGGGGTACCCCACCCTACCCCTCTCATGATACCAGGGGTGGCCGAGCGACTTCAAAAGGTGGGTTGGGGGGGGGGCACCAACAAAAAGGGTACCTACAATGGGAAATCTCAAACGAAAATACACGATTTTTTAGACATTGGTATATACCCCTACATTGTGATTACATGATCAGGGATGATTTCAATATTTGTTTCTTTACATCATGCAATATAGTGCATGAGCATTGTAGGGATACTTTGCAATTTGGTGTGATGTCTTGATATTTATTCGCGAGCGAGGATTTTTTTTTAAAGATTTGTGAGGTCGCAGTGCGAAAAATTACATCTTAAAAGGAGGGAAAAACAATCCTGATGGGGTTATAAGCACATTCTCATAACGGCAGACTGAAATGACCTTTGATAAGAAACATAATGATATCATTTATTGCTCTTAGTCGCTCTAAATTAGGGGCACGTTTAATAGTGAGATGAAAAGGGGACAATAATCGAAAGGGATAAATTAAGACACTTGTTAGAAAAGAAAAGGAGCACGTGTCAAAGTGCAAAGGGTAATTATCAGAGGTGAAAATGAGGCACTTCTTACACCTAGAAAGAGGCACTCACCTGTGATGAAAAAGGCACTTATGAGAATGGGAAATGGGCATTTGTTGACGGAAATGTTGCACCCATCAGATTTTGATAGGGGCATTTATAAGAGGGGCACTGACCAAATATGAAACGAGGCACTTATGAGAATAAAAAAAAGGAGCACCGATCAGATTTAATAAGGGCATTTATCGGATGTGTAAGGGTATAAGAAGGGGGAAGTAGCTTTTATTAAACAGAAAAATAGTCATATGTAAAAATAAACGGGGCACTTATCAGAGATGAAAAGGGGTAATTATGTGAAGTGGAAGGGGCACTTATAAGAAGGAAAAAGAGCGTTTATTAGAAAGGAAAAGGACACGTTTCAAAATAGAAGGGGGTATTTATTATAAGTGAAAAGGGGCACTCATCAGAGATGAAAAGAGCAATTATCGGAGGTGAAGGTGGCACTATTCTGAAGTGAAAAGGAGTGACTTCTCGTACCTGAAAAGGGTCATTTACCAAAGATGAAAAGGGACACTTATAAGAATGAAAAGGGACACTTTTGGTTTTTATGGGTGAGAAGGGGCATTTATGAGAAGGGGAAGGCGCTTTTATTTTTTTAATGGGGGCACTTATCATAAATTGAAGGGGCACTTTCTAGAAAAGAAAAGGTGCGTTTATCTGATACGATAATTGGGAGCGCCAGGAGTGTCACGTATGACAGACAAGAGCGCTATACAAGAAACCACTATCATCATTACTATTATTATTATCTGAGTAAAAAATGGGTAGTTATTAAAAGGGGAAGGGGCAATTCTTACAAAGGGAAAGGGGCACTTGTCAAAGTAAAAAGGCACCTTTCAGATTTGACAAGGGCAATTATCAGAGGTGAAGGGGGCACTAACCAAAAGAGAATAGGGGCACTTCTCGTACCTAAAACGGGGCACTTACAAAAGATTAATAAAGGCACTTATGAGAATGAAAAAAAAATGACAATTATTGCAAAGGAAAAAAGGGAAAAATTATCGAAGGAAAAGGGGCACGTGTAAAAAAAAAGGAGGCGGGGCACTTATCAGAGGTGAAAAGGGGAAGGGGAATTTCTATAATGGAATAGGGGAACTTTTCGCATGTAAAAAGATGCACTTCTTACAAAGTTAAAGGGGTACTTTTCGTATGTAAAAAAAAAGTGGGGGGGGGGGCACTGTGCACCCCTATGCCCCCGGGAGGGCCGTCTCTGCGTGATGAACTGTTGGAATGTACGATATGGAAGAATATCATGAAGTTTTAGCGTACCTGCTCATTGAGAAATCCAAACTTGTATTCGAATAAAGTCAGGCATTTCCTCTCCGTCATTATAATTGTTAATTCGTGAAAACAGGGACTTGATCAAGACTATTGGTTTTGCAAAATCAGCTTTCTGTCAGTTTCATCATGCCTGTTCCGTGTCGAAAATGCGGTGGTTCTGCAATATTAAAGAGGCCTAAAACTGTAAGTTTCGCATATTGTCTTATCATATACGACACATTTTGAAAATTTTGTGAATGAGAAATTATTATCAGTATTCCGATAATTTTACGCATGGTGTTTCCGTCTAAAGTAGCACGCCGTTTCATGACTTAGTCCCATGTGCTGTAAATGGTGTCTGCAAGTGCAATATGTCAATATGTAGCATTATTTGTTGGATTATTGTACGATAGTATGGGCGATACTGTTGAGATAAGTGTGTGACATTTGTTGTAAAGTGATGATGATTGAAAATGCAATAATAATTCATTACTATTATTAAAAGTAATATATCTGTCAGACTCCAGCTCCGCCAATCTCCTCAAACAATTAAAGTTAGTCTCGTTTCCAGACAGATATCTAGACCACACATAAGGCCCGTCTTCACTATCTCGAGATTGCCAAATATCCAGCTATTTGAACTATCCCGATCGCAAACTATCCAGCTAATTGCGTCTTCATTAGAACGAAGTAGCAAATTAGCTGGATAGTTGGTCGGGATAATATCCCAAGATATCTCGGTCTAGTTTGCAAAATATCCCACTATTAGGGTGTCTAATCGAGATTCAAACCTTTATCTGTTGTGATCCTGAAGGTGATAATCAATGAATGAGGTGTCATATGAAAGAGCAGGTGAATTCCAATATTTCCATAGGGGCGTAGCCCCCGAAATTTTAAAAATATCTTGGTCAAAACAGCAATTTAAACATTGTGTCCTGGCTAACTCTGAGGTTTGTCACTTTTGAGATATGACGCCCCGATCGATAAGTAGTCCCAGTCCTAAGGAACAATTCTATGTGATTATATTTTCGCTAGCCCCCAGGGATCACAACTGATAACAGTTTAAAAATACCCTTCTCGCTATTTGGTGGATCAGCTAATTAGGGGGCGTGCGCTCCGCTCAGTCCAAACCATGGTTACATCGCGTAACATCTCCGCGCACGAACGAAACCCCAAATTCAATTACACTTTATAGTGACTGAAATTATGGTTGGCAATTCCCTCGATAAACCGGAAGTGAATACACGTTATAGTCAATGGCAATATCGCGGAGACATCTCCGCGATATTGCCATTGACTATAACGTGCATTCACTTCCGGGTTTATTGTGCGACGAACGCCAACCATACTAGTCAATGTCACATGTCGCGGAGACAGCGTAGCTCAAGCTGCAAGTCGCGGATTGGCTTAGCAGCATGCGTACGATATGCATACGCTTGCATATCGCGCGATACAGCTGTTTGGCTAAATTTAGCAAAACAACATCACTCTGCGTGGACGTCTTTTTCGTTGATTTTGACCAAAATGATATGAATATACCAGCGTTTTGGAGGGGCTGTAACTTTTGATAGAAACATCGGTGAGACTTGAAATTTGAAATGTATTATTCTGATAACATTTTTTATTCAAATATCAAACAAAAATGGTGAAAAACGATCCCAAATTGAAAATTGAAAAATCGTTCAGACACCCTACCACTATTTCCGAACTAGCGGGATATTTTGCGACTATCTTCATTAGACCGAAGTACGGAGTCAAATATCCCGATCCCATCATGCACCGCTGAGCGGTATGGATCGCATGTGCGCGCGCTAGTACAACTAGTTTACACGGAAAACCGGAAATCGTTGTGCATGATGGGATCGGGATATTTGACTCCGTACTTCGGTCTAATGAAGATGGTCGCAAACTATCCTGCTAGTTCGGAAATAGTGGGATATCTTGCAAACTAGACCGAGATATCTTAGGATATTATCCCGACCAACTATCCAGCTAATTTGCTACTTCGTTCTAATGAAGACGCAAATTGGCTGGATAGTTTGCGATCAGGATAGTTCAAATAGCTGGATATTTGGCAATCTCGAGATAGTGCAGACACGCCTATAGGAGCATCACTATCTGTGTAGCTGTGTAGTAAAACAGGCAACACTGTCCACCAGCACATTAACGCAACATTTTGTTAAATGTGCTGCAGCTACCATACTTAACTGTTATCATACGTATCAACCACTCACTATTGATGACAAATAACAAACAAATAACATTTACCGGTTTCGTTTATTAATTTTACTTGAATTTCCGGTAATTCTAGCAAGACTTCTGCCGATTGGGTCCATCGTTCTTATCTCTGTACCTTCATTTTCTAATGTTACGTACGTGTTAAAATATGTGGCTCAGCAGCGCCTTCATAAATGTACGTTAATTATACGTACACGCACACGCTATGGCGCACCATATGTCCAATAATTCAGATGAACACTAATATCGCTGATAAACAGTGTATGGGTGCGTTCAAGCGATTTTTCGAAGCTAGAATCACAAACGTGAATCACAAATCAAAACGCCGTTACAAAACAAGGTCACTGCGGGAAAGCGTTCAAGCGATTTTCCATTAACGCTGATTCTACAAATGTAGCTCATTTCGAGCCCAGCCACTGCGCATCACACTGCGCAGTTTGACCCTGGAAGTATAGGTCAACTTCGGCGCGCGCATTCTGGAATTGTTTACGGCCGACTGTCGACTGCTGTTTAGAGCATAGATCGCAATTATAAAATAAAGAATGAGAAAGTGATAGAAGGAAGAAACAAAGAATAACATAAGGAAAGACAGAAAGAGAAAGTGATAGATATATTAAAACGAAGGATAACATGAGAGAAGGTGATAGAAGGAAGAAACAAAGAATAACATAAGGAAAGAGAGAAAGAGAAAGTGATAGAATGATTAAAACAAAGAATAACATAAGAGAAAGTGATAGAATGATTAAAACAAAGAATAGCATAAGAGAAAGTGATAGAAGGAAGAAACAAAGAATAACATAATGAAAGACAAAAAGAGAATGTGATAGAATGATTAAAACAAAGAATAACATAAGAAAAAGTGATAGAATTCTAAAAACAAAGAATAAATTAGAAGGTGATACAAGGAAGAAACAAAGAATAACATAAGGAAAGAGAGAAAGTGATAGAATGCTTAAAACAAAGAATTACATAAGAGAAGTTGATAGAAGGAAAAAACAAAGAATAACATATTAAAGACAGAAAGAGAAAGTGATAGAATGATTAAAACAAAGAATAACATAAGAGAAAGTGATAGAATTATAAAAACAAAGAATAACATAAGGAAAGACAGAAAGAGAAAGTGATAGAATGATTAAAACAAAGAATAACATAAGAGAAAGTGATAGAATTATTAAAACAAAGAATAACATAAAAGAAAGTGATAGAATTATAAGAACAAAGAATAACATAAGGAAAGACAGAAAGAGAAAGTGATAGAATGATTAAAACAAAGAATAACATAAGAGAAAGTGATAGAATTATAAAAACAAAGAATAAATTAGAAGGTGATACAAGGAAGAAACAAAGAATAACATAAGGAAAGACAGAAAGAGAAAGTGATAGAATGCTTAAAACAAAGAATTACATAAGAAAAGGTGATAGAAGGAAAAAACAAAGAATAACATAAGGAAAGACAGAAAGTGATAGAATGATTAAAACAAAGAATAACAAAAGAATAGAAGGAAGAAAGAAAGAATAACAAAAGAGAAAGTGATAGAATTGTGAAAACCAAGAATAACATAAGAGAAGGTGAAAGAAGGAAAAAAACAAAGAATAACATATTAAAGACAGAAAGAGAAAGTGATAGAATGATTAAAACAAAGAATAACATAAGAGAAAGTGATAGAATTATAAGAACAAAGAATAACATAAGGAAAGACAGAAAGAGAAAGTGATAGAATGATTAAAACAAAGAATAACATAAGAGAAAGTGATAGAATTATAAAAACAAAGAATAACATAAGAGAAAGTGATAGAATTATTAAAACAAAGAATAACATAAGAGAAAGTGATAGAATTATAAGAACAAAGAATAACATAAGGAAAGACAGAAAGAGAAAGTGATAGAATGATTAAAACAAAGAATAACATAAGAGAAAGTGATAGAATTATAAAAACAAAGAATAACATAAGGAAAGACAGAAAGAGAAAGTGATAGAATGATTAAAACAAAGAATAACATAAGAGAAAGTGATAGAATTATAAAAACAAAGAATAACATAAGTGATAGAATGATTAAAACAGAATAACATAAGAGAAAGTGATAGAATCATAAAAACAAAGAATAACATAAGGAAAGACAGAAACAGAAAGTGATAGAATGATTAAAACAAAGCATAACAAAAGAATAGAAGGAAGAAACAAAGAATAACAAAAGAGAAAGTGATAGAATTATGAAAACGATCTTTCTTCGCAATAATTTGTTGATTATTTTGTTGTTGATCGTCATTCATTTGTAGAGTTAGTATAGAGTTCATTGTACTTTATTTCTTCATTATAAGTACTCAATATTGTTATTGTTGTTAGTTTTTATGTCGTTTTCCATCGCCGTTGGATGATTTTGGCCAAACATGTCAATGATCATTTTAAAGATTTATGAGAGACTGCTTAACTTTTGAAAATGTACAATACAGGTAGAAATTTAGAAAAATCAGTCCAAAAGATAATGGGAACTTGGGAAGCTAAAGAATACGTACCTCAACTCTATTAAGCCACACAAATAATCTCCCTAAGCCACACTGTACTTCATCATGGGATAGATTTATAATACCAAAGGCTTCCATATTATTTAACAGTTTCCAGTTAAAGATTAATCTATACCAGTTTTAAAAGGGTTCTCATTTCCATGGAGCTATTTGAGACCAGAAATTGCATTTTGTAAAGCCATTATGTAGCAGAAAGCAATACTCCAATTAGTTGGTTCCTATTTTGTATGAAACTGCACATGAGGCAAACAAGCAACCATGAATCATCTAAAAACCAACATACAAGATTTATACTGCCAATGGAAAGAAACATAGTTTTTTACCCAAAATACTATTTTCGTATTTAAATGTAATCAAATCTAATGCACAAATCTTTGTTAAGTGTCTCATTACAGATTATTTGATTCACCGGTTATGAATAATTGTATTTCAATAGTCGGA